AAAAATAATAAAATGAATCAGAGGTGAAATGAATACCTGAATATTGTTTCTATTTTGTCTTATTAACATATTACATCAGAATCATATTGAAAAAGTTGTTAAATAGTGTGTTAGAATCCAAACATCCCAAAAATGGGTTCCATGTTTTCTTAAGCCATGTAGTCAGATATTTCTTCCCCGCTGCCCTTTCATTCCTTTACACATCCTATTTGCTTGAGAGGCAGAGATTCTTTTGTCTTCCCAGATCCAGTTTCTCATCCTCTGGGGGACTCATCAGCATTTTAAATTTCCTTTTTAGATAAATTAAGTTCTACTAATCTCATAATTTTCAGATACAGCCAGAAAAGGCAAGAACTCCCCAAAGTCCTTTCCAGATAAATAAATTGAGTTACTTGATTTGGTTTCACTCCTTTAATTTCTATTTTTCATTTTTTTCTCTTTGTATTCACATAGTCAACAGATACTTATTTAGCAAAGCATATAAATATGCTGGACAGAACATTATTACCTTTATATATTTAACTTTTTTTCTCTCTGATTCTCTTTTTTCTTCATCTTCTTAACTCTACTTTCTAATGTAATCAATCTATTGCTATGTTTTTATCATTATTCATTTACCTCTATGTTCTTATAAATATTCAATATTTAGGCATGCTGTCATGTATTCTGAAAACCAATGACACATGCTACATATTCTTCTTTAATAACTTTATTGTTCACCTGTAGTATATATATGATTTGATTTGATTTTTAACAGTACAAGCTAATCTTAGAAACTTAATAACATGTTGTCCCCATTTAGAGCGATGTAGTGGAAAAAGATAAGAATGTGAAAATAATATGACAGTAATCTTTAAAAGATAAGAGGAGAAATTCAGCTTTCTTTAGATTTAGAAAAACATTATCTGAGTGCAGGTAACTAAATAATGAGATTTTTAGTCTTTAGCAAGAAAACAATTCAGGGAGGATGAATTCTGCAATTGTCCCTTTTTTATGATTCTAACTGGATAAGAAATTATTTGAATGCTCATTAAGTGGCATCTTTCTGTAAGTAATCTTGCAACACAAAAGTGGTATTCCTTTGACCATAAAAGGTTAGGCAAAATTTGGTTGAAAAACATGTGTAAGGATAAAGTTGCTTTTTTTAAATTTTGAATCAAATATTATTTTTTATTTCTATAATAATCCTTTAATTAACTGGCAATGATATTTGTCCCATTTCTTTGGAAATATAATGTAACACAAAATATAATTATATTTCCAAGGCTCTATTCCTGAAGTCTCGCTACCATAGGATAAGAAATAGAAGAAAAAAAGGAATTGGATAAGAGCAGTTTCACATGAAGGGTGTTATTATAGAAATAAGAAATGATAAGGTTTACAAAAGTAGGATCTCAAAAAATAATCAACTTAATTTTCCACACTGGGTCACAGGCATCTGAAAATTTCCGGAATTATTCATATGTAATTTTACCATGTAAGTAGTCCTATTAATATTTTAGTTACTGCTTATATTTCTCTTTATATTATATATTATACTATATAGTTTTCTCTTTAATTTACAAAGAATATCCATACCCAATTGTCATAAATGCACCATGGAATTATGCAAGTACATATTTTGATCTTAGTCTCTAGGTGAACAAATCTAGTAGTCACAAGGGTATAAAATGACATATTCAAAGTCTATTTTTAGCAAGTAAAGTAAATGATTTATTGGTTGATTAGTTGCATCGTCTTGAGAACTAGCAATAAAAATCTTAAAATGTTTATATTAAGAGTAAAGTGGGATATATTTAAGCTCTGCTTTGGCTTCTTAGGCTTGGAATGAAAAAGTAAATGATGCATCTGGGTTCTGTTTTGATGAAATAATGAAACTGATTGAGGTCATAAGTGAAAAGAAATCATAAAATCAAAATGCAAATGTAATCTAACATATCAGAACACCAAAGAAAAGAATTTCATAGTTGGTTTCAATTGAATTCAAATTAATTAAAATGTAATAAGTAGATATTAAGTTTAACATATGATCTTGCTTCTATAAATCATGTTTACTCTTATAGAGTATGTAATCAATCTAGTCAAGAAAATGGGCCTAGTACAGAAACTAAGACATATACATATACATATACATATACATATACATATACATATACATATACATATACATATACATATACATATACATATACATATACATACAATAAAATGTAGAGTGTATCATAAGAGAATTACAAATAAAGTGCTATGGAGGATTAGTAAAGAAGTATACTAGGAAATGTTTAAGAACATTTTTGTACTTGAAATGATCCTTACAGCAGCAGTCCCCAACCTTTTTGGCACCAGGGACTGGTGCTCCTATCAGAATCCAATGCCTGATGATCTGAGGTGGAGCTGAGGCAGTGATGCTAGTACTGGGGAGCGGTTGCAAATACAGATGAGCTCCGCTGGCTCATCCTCTGCTCACCTCCTACTGTGCAACTTGGTTCCCTACAGGCCACAGACCGCTCGCTACCAGTGCATGGCCCAGGGGTTGGGCACTCCTACCTTACAGGATGAATAGAATTTCACATCAGCATAGACAGAAGTAGGACGTTTGGCTGGATTAGTGGATATTCCTACATGGTTTAAGCCATTATTATAGGAGGCCTTGAGTCTAAGGCTGCATTTTAATATAACATGTTAGATAGAATATGGAGATCCACCGAAGAATTTTGAGCTAACGTGCATAAATCAGATTTGGACTAAGGAAAGATTATTTTCCAAACATGCTAGAATGCTTTGAAGATGAAAGAGCAATTCCTGGTGGGGAGACCAGTTTGAAAGCTGGAGACCATAGAACATTGAAGTATTTTCTATTTGTTTAACGTTTTTGGACAGATATTGATTTAATGGAGAGATACAAGAGACAATGTTAAAGAAGAATGGACCCAGGTTGACAACTTGAATGACACATGGGCAATTACAATTCAGAGATAATGATTAGGCTCTGGGTACCAAAAAAATTGAGGTTCTATATGAAGCAAAGAAATTTGAAGTGTGAAGTAGATAGATAATGAGCTCCACTTGGATTTAGTGATTCTGAAATTTGGGCTGTGAAACAAATATTTCTCCTTATCATTTCTCACTGTCACACATTTCTTCCACACTATCTAATTCCATAACTCAATCACACCAACAATAAAAATAGACCTGGAAATTAAGTCCATTAATCCTACTAAGTTAGGAGCATAAAATGAATACTATGTAAGGACAACTAAGAAGATCACAAAAATAAGTAATCAGAGGTTCCTGGGCCATTTTCCTAGCAGTCACATCATGTTTACTATGTCTCAGTAGATATTTCTAAATTATCTACCTATTGCAAATATCATTAAATATTGTGCATAGATTCACAAAAATAAGAAAATTCCAGTATTTTAGGAAATTCATTGGGCAATAAATAATATTTATTAATAGTTATTTAATTATAAGCATATGAAAAAACTGAGTTATATATGCAATTTACATTATGTTACTTAAGCCTATGAGGTGGGTATAATTATGCTCATTTTTAAGATGAGAAAATTGAAGTTCAGAAAGATTAAATGACATCTCCAAAGTCACACAATTAATAAATGAAATGACTAAAATAGAAAGGAGGAAGAAAATACCTTTTGTGAAATAACCAGAGAAAAATACAAGGCAAATTTGCTGTAGTGTGAGTCAAATTGAAAGAAATTTACAATTTTAGAGAATGGAAAAATTTGTCATTAGAGTTATTCTTCAGAAATTTTATAATAAAAGAATTGTGTGATTTGGATGGGGGAAGAGTAGTACAGAGGCAACTTGGATGATAGAAATAGTATAAGTAAGTAATAAATGACAATAAAAAAGAGTGGGGGAATGTTTAAATGTACATATGTTGGTGATTATCCTGAGAGATTAGAAATTGATTGAAAATTATTATCCCAGAATATGATTGTACTTATAATGGTTTATTTCTTAATCTGAGTGGTGATACAGGGGTATGTATGTATTGCTCTCCTTCCCTTTTTTTTTATATCTAACATATTACAAAAGAATAAAAGAGAACTGAAATCATGAAAGAAAAAAAGAAATTTCTATGCAGTCCCAAATTTCAGAGAGCCAAATATTTGAAACCCTTACTGGTGATTTCACTCAGGAGTTAAAATTCCATCAAATTTATCCATACCAGAGGGTAGGGGAGGGGAGAAGGGGAAAATTTTTAAATCATTTCTTCAATTTAATTAATTAATTAATTTAAAAGAATTATCCAGGTATTTTTGAAGTAGCATTTTCACAATAAGCAAGGTCTGAGGCCTGATTATTTTGGCTGTATTTTATCTTGTTTGAATTTTTTGTTTGTTTCCCCTATTTTAAAATTTCTGAATAAGATCAGTATTAATGCTTAGAAGGTATAAAAAGAATCCTGACATTTCATCCTTTCATTGTGCAAATTTTATAAAGTGCTCCAGTCCCCATGCTGTTTCTGACCAAGGTTAATTTGAAGAAAATGAAGATGCCAAGATGCCTTGGCTCTGCCCTCAACTGCTGATCCACCTGCCTTTTTCCTGTTGTCCTTTTTTCTACCTATATTTTGGAAGCTCTAACTTTTCTCAATTTGTTTTAATCTATATTCTGTTGTTGTCATTAAATATTCATGACACGTAGGGTTGATGATAGTCTATTGAAACCTTTTAGAAGAGAAGACATCAAAATCTGAAAGGAGTGAGTAGCTAATAAGTAAGCAAAATATCCAAAGTACTTTGCTGATCTTCTCTTTATTATTTTCTCAATAATTTCTCAATATTACTGTGACGATGTTGACTCGACATTTTACCATAATCAAGATATAGTTGTAGGTTACAGCAAAAATAAGAATTTCATCTCAGCACCTCTGATTTCTAATTCTCAGCGGCTTCCTTTTACCATTGATGCCCATCCCTAGCAGTGGGTGTTTAGAAGTCTCATCTGGAATTCCACCTATTAGTGCCAATATGTGGATCAACAATCAGAGCTCACTAGATGATTTTATCTTATTGGGATTCTCTGACCATTCATGGCTGGAGACACCACTCCTTGTTCTCTTTCTGGTTGCCTACATCTTTGCCCTATTTGGTAATATCTCCATTATCCTAGTTTCTTGCCTGGATCCCCAGCTTGATAGTCTCCTGTACTTTTTTGTCTCAAATCTATCCCTTCTGGATCTCTGCTATACTACCAGTACTGTTCCACAGATGCTACTCAATCTTAGGGGACCAGAAAAAATCATTAGCTATGGTGGTTGTGTTGCTCAACTCTATATTTTCTTGGCCTTGGGGTCTACTGAATCTATACTTCTAGCTATCATGGTCTTCAACCATTATATTGCTATTTGCAAGCCCCTTCACTATCCAGTCATCATGAACCAGAGACGCTGTATCCATATGTCTGCTGGGACCTGGATTAGTGATTTTGCTAACTCCCTTGTCCAGTCCACTCTCACAGTGTTGGTCCCAAGATGTGGACAGAGAGTGATAGATCATTTCTTCTGTGAAATTCTTGCTCTTTTGAAACTAGCCTATACTGATATTCATGTGAATGAGTCTGAGTTCAATGTGCTAGGGGCTTTACTACTTCTGGTACCACTCACCCTCATCTTGGGCACTTATGTGCTCATTGCTCGGGCAGTAATGAGAATCCACTCAACTGAAAGTCGCTGGAAGGCCTTTAATACCTGTGCTTCACATTTGCTGGTGATTTTCCTCTTCTACTTTACAGCCATCAGTATGTATGTGCAGCCTCCCTCTAGTTATTCTCATGACAGAGGGAAGATTATGGCTCTCTTTTATGGAATTATCACACCTACACTCAATGCATTTATCTACACATTGAGGAACAAGGATGTGAAAGCTGCCCTGAGAAAGACACTGACTAAGGAGTTTTGGGTCAAGACAAGATGATCTCTGAAAAGAATACCTGAGAAGCAAGGATGAATGTGTTTGCTTTTCAAAGATGTCAGACATAGAAGTGATGAGATAACAGTATATTAAGTGTCATAAACTTCACAATTGGAACAGAACCAAGAAACAAACAATCAACTCTTGGTGATCTCTACCTGTTTTACAATAGTGAATCCTACCAAGTCATGTCACTTTTCTCTCTAACCTTAACCACTAGTTAACTTGGTTTCAGGAGAGAAAAATGTTGTAATAGCTAGAGAAAAAACTATTTAGAAAGGATAGTATATTTGGCATAAATTATTCCTAAATAAATCCAAAGTAAATTAGAAATGATCTCATCTTCTCAAAAAACATACAACTACTAATCTGAATTAACTCTAATCGACATATATTGACAGCATTTAGTTATCTTCCAACATGCAATGTCCCATTGTGTCATCCACCAAAGGCTTTTTTAAAGCCCAAGAGGCAAGTGAACTCAAGAGACATTTAGGAAGGTCAAAAGCTTATAAGATAGAAATATGTAAAGGGAAATCGATGAAAAAACTTAGAGACAGTGACTTTAAATAAAAATTATTTTGCCAAAAATCTTAATCTTATGCTTTTATGTAAACAACAATGAGGTCATGTCAATACAAATAAAACTTAATCTTGAGGAAAAGAGAAAACAGTGAGATGCTTTTGACAATGAACAGTGGTGGAAAAACCTAAGGTGAAAAATGTTCTAACTCAGGAAAACAATGATTCGAGAGTTTGACAAGGTAGCTTCCTTCACCACTTAACTAAATTAGTCCTACTTCAATGTGGAGGTTATGAGAATATTATATGAAAATATCATTCAAAGTTTTAGTTGATCTATTAGTTTAAAAAAAAAAAAAGTTTTGTGGGGATGGCTCCATAGTGTAATGGTTAGCACAACTGCTTTACATGCAGAAGGTCCTGGGTTCACATCCCAGGTGGAGCCGGGGCCCCTGAGTGCACTGGGGTTGCCAGGCCCTGGGCATGTAGGGGGAGATGCCCTGCCTTCAAAGATCCAGTTCTTAAAAAGAGGGAGACATCCATAGGTCAGAGGTGGAAGTGGTGGGGAGGGGGAAAAAAAGTTTTACGTGATATTCTCAAGATCCATCCATATTGTCTCAAATGGCAGTATTTCATCTTTTCTTATGGCTGAGTATATTCCATTGTAGGTATGTACCACATCTTCATGAGAATATCATGCTAAGTGAAATAAGTCAGATAGAAAAAGTCAAGAACCATATGATTTCACTTATATGTGAGATATAAAACAAAAAACAAAAAATAAAGAAATAAGACAAATGAACAAAAACTCACAAACACAGACAATACTATGATGGATACCAGAGGGAAAGGGGAGTAAGGGTGGTAGAAGAGGTCAAATATATGGTGGTGGAAGGAGAGTTGACTAGGTGGTGAACACACAATGCAATATACAAATAATGATTATAGAATTGTACACTTGAAACCTATAGTATCTTATTAGCCAATGTCACCCAATAAATTTAATAATTTTTTTAAGTTTTATAGCTCCTGGCTATAAACTGTCTCACAAATAACATATTAGTCAAAGGTAACTAAATGGAGGGCAATTTGCATTTATTGCCTAAAATGCAAATTGAATATCATACTTTATTAATAGGTATATGAGGCTCCATCGACAGAGTGATGTATAAGCCTTTGGGGGAAAACCATTCATCACCTTTAACTATAGTTTCTTTGCCACCAGATAGGAATACTAACACTTGCCTTAATTCAAAGGTGTGTAAAAGTATTTTTCTCAAATGATACTAAATTTAATATTTAATATTGTAGCTATGTTTTTCATAAAACAAATCTAAATAATAAAATTTTAATTCTAACTTCATAGAGTTCTACCTTATTTTCTATTTGATGATTTATAAAAAAATGAACTAATCATTCGTTCTGAGTCATCAATACAATTTCTGTCATTCTCTCCCTTTCAATACACATACTCAAGCTTTCTCTACAAAATTATCCTTTCCAAAGTACAATTTTTCCATAAATACATTTAATCATTTTTACTTATTTCAGTTCCTTGTAGCTATTTCAAAATAATGGATCATAGTCCCTTAATAAGATATGCTCTAAGGTCTTGACAAACATGAACAATTTTCTGAAAATCCTTCAGTGTGTTCATTGAATTCCTTAATTTGGGGAAATAAATACAGCGATGGTGTGAATTCCAGGATAGGAAATAAGTTGTTATATGACTGGGAACATTAGTGATTACTAGAGTTCAACACTTGGTCAGAAATTATGAAAATTTAGAATTGCAAATATTGGAGAGAGGATATAATACAAAACATGCATAAAATCTCCTCCAAAAGATAAAATATTGGTCTTTTCCTACTCAGCATGTTTAACTGCATTTAAAATTTGTCTTTTAAACAAATTAAATTCATTAACTCCAACTGAATTGGTACTCTCTCCTCAAATGGTCCTATTTGAACACTTCACCATGTACATTGTCTTTCACTATAACTTCTTCCTAAGCCTATGTAATATTCATATTTGTAACTTCTCATATTTCATCTGATTTCTCTGTCATACTTTGGACCTGATAAATGTTCAGTAAATACATCCAACATAATTGGATCTAGAATTGCCTCTTTCTTCTCCCCAAGGACCAGTGCAACCCTTTCCTACTTTTAGAAAGAACAACGCAAAGCTCTATTTCCAGCCAATGAAGTAAAGTTGTCACTTCACTTTCTGTGGCCCACTTGCAAGGCAGGTAAAGCAGAAACATGAAAAAAGCTTTTGGAAAAAGGATGGCCCTTGGTTATACAAGAGAAAGAGAGTCTATTTCCTCAATTTTAATGCAATCTGGAAAAAGATTCTAAACATTAAAAATAAATTTGATCATATCATTTCTAACAACTTACAATTTATTGTTATAGAACCTCATATCAAAATGATATAAAATATAAAATACATTCTATTATTAAGAAAACATGTTTACAGTATTAATTTATTCTTTTAAATGATGTGCTTCTTAGAGGTTATATATGTTGTACTTCTCAGAGGGTATTTGAAGTCACTAAATTTTTATTGATATCTCAATTAGAGAAACGTGGATTAAGTATAAATGATTATAGAAAGAAGTCAAAAGACAATAAATCAAAATGAAAGCTAGACTTTTCACCCATGAAATATGAGCCTGAATGATCAAGTTTTATTTATTTTTGTGCAGTTCATATTAGCATTTTATTATGCAAAGCCGTAAATTTGATATTACAGTGAAAATAAAATTGGTTTCCTAAAAAAAATGCTACATTTTCTTGGATTTTTAGCTTTACTTAAAAGTCTAGATAAATTTCATAATAATTGAACATTGAAAGTACTGTTTTGTATTGCAACAAACATGAATATTTTGTGTCGTGGAAGTTGCATATATTTTTAAACAAAAACAGGTCCTCAAAGAAATTTAGTGCTAATGCAAACGACTGTTCCAGATATGTCCCCAAAACCCTAGGGGTATATTTTGAGTCATGTTTAATGTTCTAGATATATCAATTTTATATCTATTTATAGATATAAAATTAAAAGTTTGATTTTTTATTTTATAAATATAATTAACATTTCTGCATAAATGCTCCCTAATATTTTAGAAGTTTATATGTTTAAATACACAATTAAATGAATTATAGTACATACACTATCAAGCGGGCAAATCAATATAGAGTAATGTTGAAAACATGATTAAGGAAGAAATCTTTTTAATATTCCTGAAAGTAATACCAAAAAAGTAAATTTATTAAATATTACATTTGTAAATTTTGTATATATTAGTAAGTCATTAAATAGAAAATATTTTGTGATATAGAAAGAACAGTAGAGAAGCATATTTAATAAGGTAAAAACATTTGTTTCCAAGTCTAGTATCTGCTGTTTATTAGAAGTTCACTAGGAAATTTCCAATAATGTCAGAAACAAACAAACAAAGAATTCCTACTCTTACCATAATTTTTGATTATTGCGTTGGACTAACCAAATGCTATAGACTGAACGTTTGTGTCCTCCCAAAATTCATGTTGAAACTTAAGCAGGTTGATACTTTTTTCTTGTATTTTCCAGTAGGTGACGCACAAACCTCTAGCACTATCCAGGCCTCCAGAATCTCTGATGTGTGGCAAATAAAACGCCCATTATTCCCTCGGGAGCTGTGTGTCTCCTCCGTGACCGGGTCGCCTCAGTCCCAGGGCTCCACCCCCATAGAAGAATGTGGAGAGCAATGGGGTTCTGAACCCTGGAGAGGCCCTGAAGTCCCTGCGCTGCCCTAGTGGCCAAATGCAGTGTTGCTCAGGCTGCAGTATCCCATGTGCCTCTGCCAGAATCAGCCTCAATGGATGGGAGTGGGGTGGGTTGGGAGAGGCTGCCAGTGTGCCTGTGGCTGTTTTACTCCCAGTAATAGCGACCACCGGGCCTCAGCTGCCTGGTCTTTATCTCCACCCCTGTTACTGGGACCAGCTGCAGTGTGCGTCTGCCACTCAGAAGCTGTTTCCTCAGTTGCCAGGGCAGCAGATTCCCTGGTCTCTAGCCTGAGATTCGCTGCTGCAGTTTCCCCTGGGGCCTGCTGCTAGCTCTGAGAAGGTGGAGGAAGGTGGCCAGGCTCTGTGACTCCACTTTCTGCCTGGCAATGGCAGTTGCCAGAACACAGCAGTTGCACCCATGTATTTCATCTCTCCCCTGATTACTGAGTTCTGCCACTTTAGTGTATGCCGATCACTCAAGCATGAATGGTCGTGGCTACAGAGAGTGGATGCTATAACCTGATTCATCCCCTCTCTCTGAGTCCAGCAGGGAGCTCTGGGCTGCCTCCACAGCACCCATCTTCACTCCTCTCCCTTTTCTCCTCCCTTGCTTGTCTGATTAGCTCACTTCAGATGCTTTGATGCACAGGTCTCTCAGAAGTGTCTGTGTGTTAAGCTGGGAATCTTACATTGGATTATAGCTGTTCAACT